TGAAAGGGCCCTCAATTATCCGTCCCTATTTAGTGTGTATCTGCTTGAGAGAGAGTGCATATTTAGGTGATTGTATGAACAACATCACTCCTGGAGTACAGACGAGAGTCAAAACCGAGGGTTTAGAGGTTGGATTAGAGATAACGATACCTCGGATGCAATCTAAGTGAACCGTATTGTGAATCTAGCTAGCGTAGCTTGAGAAAGTGCGTCTAGTAAATTATCATAATTGCTTGAGAAAGATTTATGATAGCTGGAGCGTTCATGATTGATAGAGACAACTAAGTCTCAGTTATAAAACATATTCAACCAAGGAAATCAACAACGGGGGAAACCATTACCTTAGACTTTATTCCAATTATATACAAGCAAGCTTAGTTAACTTTCAGCTTTATTTATTTTCAGTTTAGTTGTTAAATATATCATCAACTGTGAATCACAAAGTTTGGGGAAATTGATTGTGTGAATTTAGTAAGTCTGACAAGAGTACTTGATACGTTAATTCTCTATGGTTCGACTCTGGGCAGAATTACTCAGACTATATTTGCTACGTCTGTGTGTGTCTTTTTATAAGGCATAGTTTGGCGTTATCATTCAAGTATATTGTGATTGCTTTTAATTGAAGGGCCCTCAATCGGTTGTGCCTATTTAGTATGTATTACTCGGGAGAAAGTGCATATTTAGGTAGTTGTTGAACAACACCACTCCTAACGTATATGAGGGATCAATATGAAGGGTTTAACGGTGGGATTAGGGATAATGAAACCTTGGGGGCGATCTAAGTGAGTTGTAACTAGGCCAGCTAGCATAATTCGGGAGAATATGTCTAGTATATTGTTGTAATTACTCGGGAGAGAGTTACGACAGTTAGAGTGCTCATGATCGATAAAGAAGACTTAGGCAAATTTATAGCAAACATAACGGAAATGATTCCGACAAGAGGGGAGATAGGCAAGTATTATGTGATACCAAAACCGTATAAATAACGGAGAGGTCGAGTATATATGGAAGGAAAATCATGGAGAGATTCCATATTATAACTGGAATTGGGGAGGATAGAGGAGGCGACTTTTAGGGTTTGAGAGGAGAAGGGAGTAGAGAGGGTTCAAAGGCGGCTATCTCTGAAGAATGGGGCAAGGGTTTGGGGCAGATGTTATTAAAAATGGTGTGGTTATCGTAGACCATTGATCTCGAGAGATCAACGGTCTGGATTAAAGAATAGGCGGGGCGGGTTGTTTGAAGTGCGTCGCGACCGGGTTAATCACAGGGGTCATTTAGATTGGTTTTTGGCGGTTATTGGGCTAAGGTGTGGGTGTTTGGACCGCTAATTCGGTTAGAAAATGGCCTGATTTGGGCCACATTTTAAAAACATAAAATTAATTTTAATTTTTTTAATTAAAAAGTCTAATACATAATAAAAATTATTATTTATGAAATAAAATGCTTAAAATTAATAACTCAGAATTATAAAAATATAGAATGATATTTTGGCATAACTAATATAATAAATGCAACTATTTATAAAATATAGGCTACTATTTGCAAAAATTGTGTAAATAGCTAAAAAGACAAATGTAATTATATAAATGAAGTATAAATATTATGAAACACATATGTGGATGCAAATAATAAATTTGGATGATTAAGTCATCACAAAAATAATTTAAAGGAGTAATTAATACATATTCAAATAATTTAAATGGAAGAAGTCAATTTTAAGACTTAAAAATTATGGAAAATCATAAAAAATAATTGTATGACTCTTGTAAATTGGTGATGATGCGGGAATGAAATTCTAAAAGCATATATGACTTTTATAAAAACATGAGGGCAAAATTGGATATCAATATTATTCACATTTTAAAAGCATTTTTTCGCTATTTTAGAATGAAGTATAATATAATTTATATTATCTGGTTCCACATATTTAAATTTTAACTTTAGAGAATGCATTATTTTAGTCAAATTTAACAATTTTTTTATCAAATTATGCAATATTTAGGGAATTAATAACATGATTAGAGGTGGCCAAACTGGAAGCATCAAATCCAATTAGATATGTTATTAGTTTTATTTTTGTTAGGCTCTTTCCACCTGCTTCCTAACGTATAACACGCACTAAATTCTTGATACTTTCCGCACTCGTGGAAAAAATTGAATACGAAAAAGAAGAAAATCTATTTGGCGGTAACCTTTGGTGCGAAATACCAATAAAATTTGCAATTCACTCAGTTCTACAAAACCCAGTCGCTTCTAATCTAGAGCGTGTTATCCACCTCCGCAAATCAACTTAAATAAGAGCCACGCTTACGTGCTAACAGACCATGCTTATTAGACGTTACTTCCACGTTCATTAGACGCGCGTGGGTATTAGTGATATATCACAACGCTTTCGAGTGAGAACCCTTCTTCTATATACCTCCGCCTCAGTCTTCTTTTTCCCCGTCTTATAACAGCAAAACACCAAGAAATTTCAGCAACAATAGCAAAAAGCATAGACCAAAGAGATATAGAGAGAGAAAAAGAAAAAGAGAACTGAACCAAACGAAACCCTAGCTCATGAAGCCAAAAGGTGAGAAGCAAAGTCGACGATTTTCAACTTTTTTCCCGTTCGCTGTATGATTTTTGATCAATCAATTGAAGGTCAGTCGCATTATTTTATCTAACTTACGGTTTTTCAGAGGTCCAATTGAACAAAAACAAGGACATTCGATCCTCATTGGTGCTTATTGAGTGTGATAATTACATAGGGATTTGATTTAATTCTGAAACGCGTAATTTTTATATATTGGGGTAAGGACTGTAAAATTAACGTATATATATTGTCATGCGATTGTCGCGGACGGCGTCGGTTGCAAGGAGAAGCAAGGATAAGAAATTGGTAAATTCTAGGGCTAAGAAGAAACACAAAAGACTAGACGCTATTTGTGAAAAAGCATATAATCACAACCATAATGATGTTGTTGAGAATGCCGAAACGATCGAGTGGAATGTCGATGGTGCTGAGCTTGAGCTCCGTAGGAGCACTAGGGTTCGAAAAACTCCTGTTTTGCTCGATGCATCGCCTCCTCCCCCGAAGAAGCGAAGGAAGATTGATAGAGGGAGTGGGATGAGCAGTGGTAGCAGGGTGGAGAAAGGAGCTGCGGTGAAGCTGGAGTCACCTTGTTCGACTTCCAAGGATTTGGAAGAAGGCTCTAGGGCTTGGCAATCGAGATTGAGATCTAGGACTAAGGGTGCAGGTAACAGAAAGAAGAATAATGTAAAGTTGTCGCCAGTGGGTAAAAGGAAGCTTTTTCAGGATGTTGACAGGTTGAAGGAAGAAATGGAGTTAGAGGTTGGAGAGTTAGATAAACAAGAAGCTCGTGAATGTGAAAAATCAACTATAGTTAAGTCGAAGAGACCTGGAAGAGTAAAAGCTTCGAATATAATGGTTACCGAGCAGCAAGAAGATGATACAAGTGGTGGTATGAAGAAGGATGGCAAAATGATAAACCTAGAGGAGCTGCTACATGTAAGGGATGAAATAGATGACGACATTTCAAAGGCTGGATTTAAGGAGGGAGTTGAGGACGGCAATGTGCCATTGCCATTAGTTAATGAAGACTGGGATCAGTTAGAAACTTGTCTAAGGCCAGAAGAATGCAACACAACTGACCAGGTGGGTACTCTGGAACAGGATTTACAAGGTAAAAATGAAGGGAGTGTTGGAGTGAATGACCAAAAGGAAGCTGGGGGAGGTGATTTACTTGCTGATGCTGAAAACGATGGCGGCATAAATAAGCAAGCTAAAGATGGAGTTAGCAGAGTTGATGACACGCAGGAAAAAGCTGAAGGTCTATCTGGTGATAAACCTCTGGAATTGGAGAAGGTGGTCAAAACAGATTGTGCTTCTGATATTACTCTGAGAAAGCGTCGAATTAGAGAGGGAAGACACTGTGGTTTGTGTGGAGGAGGTACTGATGGTAAACCTCCAAAAAGGCTCGTTTATGGGGCTGCCAGTGATGATGAAGCACACAGTGGGTCCTCCGCTTCTGATGAACCTAACTATGACATGTGGGATGGATTTGGTGACGAACCTGGCTGGCTTGGGCGTCTCCTGGGGCCTATAAATGATCGTTATGGTATAGCTGGGATTTGGGTTCATCAGCAATGTGCTGTATGGAGTCCAGAGGTATGATAATTTCCCTACTCAACTTTATTTCCCTTAAGCTATGTCTTCAATTTAATACCTGATGAATTTCAGCTGCCTCATCCAACTGTCATGCTAGAAAACTTGGTCTTTTACATTGTGAGATTTGGGGCGAAAACAAAGAGCAAGCATTTTCAATTTTGTTTCAGAATAAGGGAACGAGGAGCATGCTATTAGTGGTTTAGCTATAGTGAATTTGGAAAAGATGAGTTGAAACAAGTGCAATAGATGCAACATGTCTTTGAAACAAGTTTGAAAGGAAGAAGAAGATTGTTTGAACTATAATAGTGGTCAGCGTGTTTCTCTCAATACAGAGGGGGAGTAACTTTCAGTTCCATGGTATACTTGAGACGGTTTTACTCTAGTTTCCATTAACCCTGTGTGGTTTGATTCTTTTCTCCATTCATTTTCTTTTGATAAATATTTTCTCCATTTGCGTCCAAATAGATAGGAGAGAATATTGAAGATTCACATAGCCAAATTCGGCTAGCTTTGGACTAAGATGTAGTTGATTGATTGACTTTTCTCCATTTATATTACTCATGTGGTGTGTTTATAAAGTTATTAGGCCTCGCTATTATCATCTGCAGGATGCATTATGATGGAAATACTAGTAGAAAGTAAGCAACAGACTGAACTGTTTAATTTCAGTTTTTATTGTTTTGTACATTGGTATATGGCCTTCATACTATCTGGATTCTTTCCTGATCGGGTCCTCAATTTCCAAGTCATGTTTTCATGGGCAATGCATCCAAGACTACTTTTACTTTTGATCTCAGGTTTATTTTGCTGGCTTGGGATGCTTGAAAAATGTTAGGGCAGCGCTCTGTAGGGGAAGGGTTTTAAAATGCAGCCGCTGTGGAAGGCCTGGGGCAACAATTGGTTGCCGTGTTGATAGATGTCCAAAAACTTATCACCTGGTTAGTTTAAATTTCCTGAATCATGTCATACTTCAAAAGCTCAAGATAGACCTCTATTTGCATCTCCTGATGCCTATTTATTTATTTATTTACTTTTGGTCATTGCTTCTTTGCTGTATCTATATATCTTGATTACCTCACTTCTTGTCAGTGTAATATTAGTTTTCGACTAACTATGCATTAAATTTTGCAGCCTTGTGCACGGGCCAATGGCTGCATCTTTGACCATCGCAAATTTCTCATAGCCTGCACAGATCACCGCCATCTCTTCCAACCATATGGAAGTCATTATTTGCAGCGTATAAAGAAATTGAAAGCTAGAAAAATGAAGTTTGAGCTGAGAAAGTTGTCAAATGATGCCTTGCGCAAGGATGTTGAAGCAGAGGAAAAGTGGTTGGAGAACTGTGGAGAGGATGAAGAGTTTTTGAAACGTGAAAGCAAGAGACTTCATCGAGATCTATTGAGAATTGCGCCTGTATATATTGGGGGCTCAAACTCTGATGCTGGTATACAGTTTCAGGGTTGGGACTCTGTTGCCGGGCTCCAAGATGTCATCCAATGTATGAAAGAGGTTGTTATCTTACCGCTTTTGTATCCTGAGCTCTTTAGTTCTCTGGGGCTTACACCTCCTAGAGGAGTTCTTTTGCATGGATATCCTGGGACAGGTAAAACATTGGTAGTACGGGCACTTATTGGTTCATGTGCTCGTGGTGATAAACGAATAGCATATTTTGCCCGTAAAGGAGCAGATTGTTTGGGGAAGTATGTTGGTGACGCTGAGCGTCAGCTAAGACTTCTATTTCAGGTAGCCGAGAAATCTCAACCATCTGTCATTTTCTTCGATGAAATAGATGGTTTGGCACCTTGCCGTGGTAGGCAGCAAGACCAGACGCATAATTCAGTTGTCTCCACTTTGCTTGCTCTAATGGATGGTTTAAAATCTCGAGGTTCAGTTGTTGTAATAGGAGCCACAAATCGTCCTGATTCTGTTGATCCAGCATTAAGGCGTCCGGGTAGGTTCGACCGCGAGATTTACTTTCCACTTCCATCTGTTAAGGACAGAGAAGCTATTCTCTCCTTGCATACAAAGAAATGGCCTAAACCTGTCTCTGGACCAGTACTCAAGTGGATAGCTAGCAAGACAGTGGGCTTTGCTGGTGCTGATTTGCAGGCTCTTTGTACTCAGGCAGCCATAATTGCTTTAAAAAGGAGCTTTCCCTTGCATGAGCGACTCTCTGCAGCGGTGAAAGTTCCCAATGCTACATCTCCCCCTCTTCCCAATTTTAAGGTGGAGGAGAGGGATTGGGTAGAGGCTCTTACATGTGCACCACCTCCATGTTCACGTAGAGAAGCTGGAATGGCTGCTAATGATGTGGTTTCAGCGCCTCTACACACCTTTCTTGTTCCATGTTTGCTGAAACCACTTAGTAGATTGCTTGTATCCCTTTATCTAGACGAACGCCTCTGGTTGCCGCCCCTATTCTCTAAAGCTGCTGAGTTGGTAAAAGACGTTATTCTTTCTCAATTGGTTAAGAAGAAATTACCAGGCAATAATTGGCAGTCCTATGTTAATAATTTGCTTCAAGAACCAGATGTTATCAGTCAGATTGAGGATCAATTTATACGTGCCAACATTCTGGTTGGAGATGTTAGTGTTGGTGGTTTTGATGCTAGTGATGATGACATTGTTCACAGTCTCGCTGATTCTGAACCATCAAAGTTGCAGTGTGCAGGGGCTCGGCCTAAATTGTTGAAGAATGTCTTTCATATGCCTGGAAAGACATCGGGATTTAGAATATTAATTTCTGGAAATCCAAGATCTGGCCAGAGGCATCTTGCTTCCTCTCTTCTTCATTGTTTTGTTGGTAATGTTGATGTCCAGAAGGTGGATTTGGCTACTATTTCTCAAGAAGGACATGGAGATGTTATTCAGGGGTTGACACGGACACTCAGTATGTTCCTTCTCTGTTTTTATTTATCTCACTCCTAATGGCTGGAAGTGCTTACTGGAAGTACAAACATCTACTGGACTTGCCTTTATGAGTTCGAGATATCTTATTTCCATGATGTGATATCATGTCAGTTCTCAAAGCATTTTCATACCCAAAAGTTCAGTTCCATTACAATTCCAAAGAGAGATACCTTATTAATGGGCTTCCATCTTGTGAAAGTTTTCCTTTAATTACCTTCTGAACTTGTTACCACCATTAGGTTTGCAACATTGGTGCTAACTTCCTCGTTACATGACTCTACAAAAATCATTCTGAAAACAGCTATTATCCCGGTTAAATGTGCTTGCAATCAGAAAACACGTGAAAGTTATTTAAAATTCGAGTTGCGCGTATAACTGTTCATAGCCCTGAGGGATGTTGGTAATTTGGCTCCTTTTTTGGCTGTTTTCTGTGTTTTGGTTCTGTGCCAACATTATCACATGGTTGTGTTTTGTAGCATTGAGTGCCAATATATATATATATATATATATATATATATGTGTGTGTGTGTGTGTGTGTGTGTGTGTGTGTGTGTAAATCCATCAATCAATCAATTTTTCTTGTTTGGTTTTTTTGAGGGTGCTAAATGATCAGTCCTGCATGAATGGCCCCTGAAAACATTGCTGGTATGCTTGAGGGATTACTTGTTTTAAGTTTATGCTTTTGATTTTTCTCATCTTGCTGAAGGAAATAGTAAATTTGTATCTCTTGTGCAGTGAGATGTGCTAGTGTGGGGAAGTGCATGATATTTATGCCAAGAATTGATTTATGGGCTGTGGAGACATCTGATCAAGTCTGTCAGGAGGATACTTGTTCTTCAGTAAAGCCTGAATCAGTAGGCAAGGAAGCTCATTTGCATAATAATAGTGATGATGAAAGGAACTTTAACCATAGTGCTGAACAGGCTGGGGATGCTGTCAAAAGAGCCTCATATCTGTGGAGCTCCTTTGTTGAGCAAGTGGAAACTATATGTGTGTCCACATCTGTGATGCTTCTGGTATGTACCTTGTCTCCTTAAATTTGCCTTAAGGTTTTATATATCTTTCCAAATATTATGTGAAAGGAGTACACCTTGATATTTTGTCATATTGGATTAGCAAGTTTGCATGCGAAAACAAAAACTGCTTCTGGCATACAATGTGATTCTCTTTAGTGCTTTTAAGACTATCCTAGATTGCACAAATGCTTTACAACTTTTAATCATTAAAGAACTTACTCTTTTGCACCCACCACCTTCTGTTTCCTGTTTCCCTTAAACAGGCTACATCCGATGTACAGTTGGAAGCACTCCCTGTTAGAGTGAGGCAGTTCTTTAAAAGTCAGATGTTGAACTGCAGTATCCCAATTCCCTTGGAGGATTCAGTTTCTAGATTTACTGTGCAGCTTGATGGAAATTTTAATCAAGAATGTCTGATTGATTCCTCAGCAGCAAAGTTGTCAAAAGATTTAGCTCAGCACTTCATTCAGCTGATTCATCGTACAAACCATGTCCACTTGCACACCTGCAATAATGAAGCTAGTGACAAATCTGAGGGCAATATTGCCATAGAATGTCAGAGGTCAGATCTTAGACCAACCATTGAGCATGTGCATAAACAATGTCCAATTCCTACTATTGCAATAGTTAACAGTAGAAATGTTAAAGCGAAATCAAGCTTGATGTTAGCAATTACCACATTTGGCTATCAAATTCTGCTATATCCTCATTTTGCTGAACTTTGTTGGTTTACATCCAAGTTAAGAGAAGGTCCTTGTGCTGACATAAATGGACCTTGGAAGGGTTGGCCATTCAATTCTTGTGTTATTCGACCTATTAACTCAATGAGAAAGGTTATCCTTTCTTCCAACAATACTAAAGGCAAAGAGAAATATTGTATGGTGCGAGGCCTGATAGCTATTGGGTTGTTGGCATACAAAGGCAAATACTCATCCGTTAGAGAAGTTTTTTCAGAGGTTCGAAAAGTTCTCGAGCTTCTGGTTGAACAGATCAATGATAAAGTTCAGAATGGGAGGGATAGGTATCAATTTGGTCGTCTTTTATCGCAAGTGGCTTATCTTGATGACATGGTTAGTAGCTGGGTTTATACATTGCAGAGGTAAATTTGGCTCTACTTGTAGTTCGTGTACAGTTTCTTTTGGTTTCTTATTTCCAGCCTTACATCTAATGCAAATGGCTTTACTTTCAGTTTAGAGGGAGACTCTCAACTCGCAATGGCAAACCCAAAGATTGGTTGTGCTGGACTTTCGGAAAGCGCTAATGCTCCCGAGGATACACCTCAAAGGGAGGGAGGTCATGCGCTAGAAGAATCCCTTGACAAACCGGAGACACTGGAAACATATCGGCCAGAACTAACTGCTGAAAATTGTAGTCGCGTTAATCCAGAAGCACATTCTAATGGGCTCATGGAGTTAAATATTGATGATGTTCAAGAGGATGGTAGTAATTCTTCCAAGGACAGGTGTGGCATTGAGCTTTCCAATTATAGTATGAGTTCCAACACAAATGGAAGATTGTCCTCTCCAAACAATGTTCAAATTGGAGATAGCAACCAAAAGTCGGTTGGCAATAGCATAGATCTTGAATGTTCATCAAATAGATCTTCCAATCTTTCAACTGACTCTAGTGTAGTGTGTTTATTTCAGTGCTGTTCTCAGTGCCTGCTGAACCTTCAGTGCACCTTGAGTAAAATGCTTTCCCACGAGTGGGCACTTAAAAAGTTTGAGTGTATGGTAGAGGATGCTTATGACTTTCTGGCCTCATTAGCTGCACATCTTCATTCGGCTTTGAGGATTTGGTTGCTGGCTAACAATTCAACTTCGCTTGATGAAAAGCGAGTACAAGAAAGGTACAGTGAATACTTTGAATGCAAGGAAACTAACATGTGTGGATGTCGAAACTTAGGGGACAATTTAATCAAGCTGAGAGATTGTGATTGTCATTTGATAGGCAATGGCACAACTGAGAAATGCAAATCTTCTCAGAATTTGCCTCAGGAGCTTGATACTAAGTTTATCCTTAGAGATGGTGTACTGACCAACTTAGACAAGAAGGATGTTTCTACTCATTGTAAATTTGAGACGTTATGCCTTTGTTCTCTTGTAGAGTGGATAGTAATGAGAAAGGAACCTTTTGATTGACTGGCATGTGGCGAATTTTTTTGTATGACTGCGGAGTAAGAGTGGGACTACGAGATGTAAAAATCAAAATTTTGGTTTTCTATTTCATTTTGATTTGATTTTCTTATCATCTTCAGTGACCAGTAGATCGACTTCTTGTGTCAATTTTCCGTATCCTTTAACTGCTGCTGCTTTTGAGGTCCTATACAATGTATGATGTTATCCAAACAACGCAATTTCATTGTTCACTAATATTTAAATTCCAAAGGTTATGAACTGATTGTTGTCGAGCTTTGAAAGATTTAACTTTAGAAGAACGTATCTTATTTCAGATTCTGTCTTTATAAAAGTTTATCGAAATACTGTTTGTATGTTATTTTAAGACCATGTTGGAACATAGAAAGCTGTAATTCTTCTATCTCAATTTATATCGCATATTTATTTTGAATCACTGTTTGACACTTTTCATTATTAATATTAATGTTATATAATACAGCTTTTAGAACTCCTATTAAAATTTTAACTCTTACCAACCTAATATTTCAATCGTTTAGTTTAGTATGTCTTTAACACTTGCTATTGGCTGTAAAACATCCAAAAAAGGGAAGTAGGATTGCTCTGGCTGGAAGTTGGAACCAGTAGTTGATAAAGCGGCAACCACGTGACTAGCAAGTGTTACGCCACATACGCCTCTCCCCCCCTGCCTTTAGGCAGCAAAATGGCAGTTTCGGAGCCAATTAAACACGGGAGACCTGTCAACGTTAAAATATCATGGTATAGCCAGTTTTCACACTGGTCAATGAAAAATAGCCAGCGTTTACCAAGTAAATGAAAAATAGCCACTATTTTGCTGCAACAGGGACCGGTCCAGTATAATATACGGGAGTTTTGTGCATTTGTGTACGAACTCCAGCATATTATGCTGGACCGGTATACTTTGCTAACTCCTGTAAAATTTGCGGGAGACTGGAGCAACAGTGCTCCAAACTCCAGTATATTATACTGCACAATTATACTTGCTGGAACTCCCGTAAAATTTGCGGGAGTTCCAACATAGTTATCCTGGAACTCCCGTAAAATTTACGGGAGTTCCAACATACTTATGCTGGAACTCCCGTAAAATTTGCGGGCGTATTTTTCTGGATTTTGAACAGTGTTTTCGCTCAGATTTAAAGTGGCTAAATTTCGATGACTTTTGAAACTTGGCTATTTTTCAACGACCAGTGGTAAATCTAGCTATTTTTGAATTTCTCCCCCTGTCAACTCATGTTCCAAAAGCAGTTATTGAAACGGGCCCTTCTCAAGAACCACTTTGGTCCCAAAAGCACATGACACAACCGAGCCCGGGTCAGATTGTTGCAGCCAATTTCGCCCACTGGTTCATCCAAACCCTCATTTGATGGTTCAAGCAAGAGGAGTCCACCGGTTTTCCATATAGACAGGATAAATAATTCCATGACCTCTCTAGTTCTGTGCATGTCCTCATTGCGATAGCACTAAAAACTCTTCAATGCCAACGTGACATGGTTAATTTCTCTGCTCTGTCACCCAGAGGGAAAGCTTCTTACCTTTTGTTTCCAGACTCAGTTTTAAGTTTTTTATATAATCACAATATAAAAATCTGGACCGCCAGTTCTTGAACAGAAAATGATCCATTGGCAATTTATACAAGTATGCACAAGTTGTTTCCTTTCCAAGAATTTCAAAACTTTAATTATCCCCTCTTGGAAAAGAGGAAAAAAATAGTTTTGCCCCCAAACTTCCTAAAGATTAAAACATGGTTTCCCATTGCTTACACAAAAACATAAGCTGTTCATGAGCAGACCCTGTATATTTGGACATATAAGAGGGTCAACAGTCCGTCAGGGCCCCAAATATCCTCAATCCTTCAATCCTCTTCATCAAGTGTAGTAAAATCCTCTATCGCATCAGGTCCAGCGTTTTGCTTACTCATGGATCGGACTTCATCAATTTCTATAAGTAAGAAAGGGTCACATAACACCCTTTGAGCCTGGAGAACTTTAGGACAACCTGAAAGAAAATTAACTTTCATTTAGTAACTGAATGAACAGAACCTGTGTTGGCTAGAAAAAGAACAAATACCTGCAACAGGACATTGGCCACGTGAGGTTTTGGACTTAATAAACTGCAGAATAGCCTTCTTCTCATATATATGCTTGCAGTCCATGCTGCAAGTAGAGCAAAATATGTAAACCAAATATCAAAATGAACATGTAGCAATTGAAATTTGTAAGACAAATATCAATCAGCACATTACTGCTATAACACGCCTGCATACAAGAATACTTGGTAAAAAGTATAAAACTCAGTATGCAAATAAAAATGAGATTGTGTATGGAATCTCTAATGTGGGAAGAAGAAGAGAAAATATAAGGAAGCATTCCAGCACCCTAATAATTAGAAAAAAGAGACATATTTCCAGCGCGCATTACAACTTAATAACAGAAAGAGACTACAATAAAGCCGATCCTTGGCTCACAGTTATATGAGAGTGAGTTATTATATAGTGGTAAAAAGCCATGTTTGAGACAGAAACACCGAACTAGCAAGAGGTTCTACAGCATCTAAATCGAGAACACGTAAGGCAATGAAGCCTTAGCATAGTGGCAAAGGTGGGAAAGTAGATTATATAAAATATGAATGTAAATGCAAAGTACTTTCTTCAGTAACTATCTACTAATGCTAGTGTCTAAAGTACTCTCTGCATTGTAAAGCTAGATATATGAAGTAAAAGAAGGATATTCACTATACCTACGAACTGGATCTACAAGTTCAGTAACAGGCTTTCCACTTAGAGGGCAAGTCACATTCAGAAGGTTGCACTGCGTACTGGTCATTACTATGTCCTCCTGCTCTTCACCTGGCATTGGCTGTCCTGCATGATGAACATGCTGCAGAAGAAAGAAAGAGCTAAATTACCCTTAAGTTGTTACTCAACAGTGGCCCCTAACAAAAAGGAGGGGTTAAAAATTTTAGAATACAAATTAATCAAACTATAACTGGAGACTCCAAATGGATATAGTCGTCTGGTGCACATGGTTAAATGGAAAAGGAAGATGCTGATGTTCAGAGGAAAAAGCATCCCCTTTTGCTGGGACCATACTCCCTCTTCTTTTTCCTTTTCTCTTTCATCTTCTTAGCCACTCTTTTTCTTTTCCCCCTTTTATTTGGCTTTAGCACGGGAGGGTTATTTGTTCATGTGTGTCCTCTTGTTCACAGAAAACTATCACAGTAGCATTTATATAATACCTCTGCTGCTCTGTATAAGCTAGGAAACTGACAACAAGCAAAGGGAACTGCTATGACCAGTCCACCATGTACTGCAAGGACCCTTTGAACATGCCAAAATATTGGCGCTCACAGGAAATGGATCTTTTTTTGGGGGGTGCATTGGTGTAGCTTTTCAGTAAACTGCTTATTTAGCCTGTGAAATCATAACTCTTGTTTTTGGCAACATCACACAGTGAGAATCCTCCGGATCCCAGAGTGGTGCTTTCCTTGTCAGTTGGAGAAAGGTCTTTAATCCAATCCTGACAATTATTCCCATGTACTTATACTGGAGATCAATATACCATTAGAACTTAGTCTGGAATGGGACACCAGTACAAAGCTTAGCTATTTTCCAAGATTCATGTAAACTTTGGACCAAGGAGATCTGGTACTAAGAGCTTAGAGCTAGACATGACTTGCATAACCCACTCGATATTTTCTTCTCCGGTAAAGGAGTTGACCTTGACGTGCTGAAGAAGATTAAAGTTCAAGAATGAATAAAATCATGAAGTTAACTTGTTCAGTGTGATCATTCACGTGCAGAATTCTTAATGCAACTAAGAAAAATCATCTAAAGTTTTTATGGACCTCGAAAACAAAAAGAAGCATTTTTGGAATCAAAGTCATTACATCAGATTCAATCAGAAAATACTCGAATCTCTTATTAATCCCTAAACATCCATTTTAGATTTGGTATGGTAATAAAAATTAAAGTTCACAACACAAAATTCTGTCTCTCAATAAGTTTGATCGGGCACTAAGTTTTAGTTGTTTAAAGGGACCTCCCCCAACTCATTTGGGATTGAGGTGTAGCAGTTGTTTGTTCAAGAGGACTTCTGCTGCTTCACCTTCACATGATAAATTTTTAAGTATCAAATATCTGGAATTTGGTCATAGAAACAAATAGAAAGTTTCTTTTCAGAAGATATTTGCTAGATGTACTGTGGTATTGTTGAGTTGTCCCACATCGGTGGGATTTGAGGTCTTTGGTCTCCTTGTATGGTCTTGGGCAATCCTCACCTCACAAGCTAGCTTTTGAGGTTGAGTTAGGCTCAAGGTCCATTTATCATTTAGTTAGAGCCTGATGTACATTTCATGGGACTTAGAGGTTCTTTTGTCCACTAATGTGGTTCAAAGTTGTAGGCCTCAGAGAACAGGAGACCTCTATGTGCTCTTAATTTATTTTGTCTATCCTGTGACATTGACACAAGGTCCTCTTCTCTGTGCTCTTGTTCCATATTGGTGGGTTTCTTGTAAACAAGAAAGCAGAAAGTTGTACAACTAACGAGGAAAACATACCCAGATGGCTTCCCGGAATTGTCTCAACAAAGGCTGGCTCTGAGCGCTAGACGATGATCTAGCCTTTGATTTTGCAATTTCTTCATCAAACTTCTTCTTAAAATTTGTTGGCTGCAGACAAATGAAATCTTAATGGTCCAAGCTGAGAAACAAAAGATCAACATATCAGGACGAAAAGTCACCTCTGGCCCAGGCTCTAATTCATCACCTATAGACTGAATTGCCTCGGAAAGATGCATGCACTCATCAGACGCCCCCAACAACTGAATAACACCAGCTTCGAGATCCTTTACCTGCAACAGTATAAGACAACCTCATCTACAATCCATCAAGAAAGAAATTGTAAGTTTCCTAATGAACAATATTTAAAATCAGTTTTTTATTTGTTAAAATCAACATTGACATTAAACCACGGCATCTGCTAGTTGTCTGTATTAAGAACATATAATTCACCAAAACATTATGAGAAAACTAGCATTGTGGCTCTGTCATCAATCATCACATTCTGATAGGTGGAATCGAGTACTACAATGAGTTTTTCCTCAGTTAGTATATCCATAACCTTCAAATTAACTTAGTTCTACCAGTATTTTCTTCAATTTCTAACGAAACTTTCAATTCGTATTGCATATTTTACCGGTACCAAAAGAAACATAGTGGACTGTGTATATTAATGATTATTGTCAGAAACTAAACACAAGTGTGACTTATATAAATGGTTGGTAATACTAACTGCTTGTTTAAACTTTTTTTTTTGGGTAACCATGTAAAATTACCATTAACATAAAAAACAATTACACTTATAAGGCAACCTTAATCTGACCACAGATCAAGGCCCCCAACTCCACAATATCTAATTACACAGTAGACGTTGGATAAAACTCCTACACCTATAAGCTTTCTTTGACATCCTCATATGATCTACTCTCTCTGTAATTTCCCTCTTAATTTGTGTTTCTCTAATCTATGTACATTTTTGCCTTGAAAAATTTTAAAATTCCGAGCTCTCCAAGTGTGGTATATCACTGCTCCATTGACTGCTGCTATCACCTCTTTTTTAAACTGCTTCTAATGCTTTCTTTTAATCATTTCCAGCATCAACTTGAAATTCCCTTCCTGTACTAATTGTCCTATCCACTGGTTGATCTCTTGTCTAACTGCTTTGATCCAGCCACAGTCGACAAACAGATGCTCCTTTGTTTCCAGCTGCTCTGCTTCGCACAAGCTGCAGACTGCAGTTTATGTTTTCCACAGGGATTTGCATCCCTATTAGCCTGTCTTTGGTAAGTAGTCTCCCTTGAATTGCCAACCACATGACAAATCTATGTCGAGGTAGAGCCACAACAGTCCATACCAAGTCTGCTGTCTCTAATCGTGGTTGCTGATTTATCATAGCAAGATAACGGTTAGTTATAGAGTAGCTACCTCCTGAAGTTAGGTTGTATCTGTCTTGTGAATACCATTCTTGCATCTCTCCTTTTAGGGAGTTTAACTTTCTCCAATACCAACTACTATCTATAGGAGGACTATGTGTCCAAATATTACGATCAGCTTTCATATATACACCATGAACCCATCGCACCCAAAGGGACTCTTTGTTCATTACCAATTGCCACAATAACTTTCCTACTGATGCTATGTTCCATATTTTACAGCCTTTCACATTCACCCCTCCTAGTTTCTTTGGGAAACAAACTTTCTCCCATGCAACCAATGCTACTTTCTTCTGACCCTCAGTCTTCCCCCACAATGTGAAGTTGTGAACAAATAACTAAGACATAAGGAAGGGGAATCCACAAGAATGTCAAGACACAAGATGCAAAAGCCCACAATTAGTTACATTTCATGCAACAAACATTTGAAGTAATCCTTTCACCCAGTTCAAGTTTCCATCTTTGGCTTTCAATAACAACATAAATAGTTTTAAGAACAAATTTATCTCAGCCTATTTGGTCTTTTCCAGCAAAACTAAAATGGTTTGCTAGAATTTTACCCCCTCCCAAAAGATTGTGAGATTTGCAGTACGAGTGTTAACACATGTGAGTTCCAACATGGATTTCCTAGCTTCTTTTAAATAAACTTTTACAATAAACTCCACAGAGAGCACTTCCATACTTAAAAATGTTTGAAATTATGTAGTCAAAGAAAAGTTGTTTTAACACTCCAAATTGTAATATTACAAATTTCTATATACAGAAATGCTTGTCTAAGTATTAATTTTTTATGACGGTGGTGTTCGGACCGGCTTGCATGCATCTAGGCTACTCCATTGGTAGAAACTACCTCCCACCAATACGAGCGTAGAGTAACTCTGGCTTAGGCAGATGGGAAGAAATCACCAAGTGATTTTTGCTTATGCTGGGATTTGAACCAAAGATCTCGTGGTTCTTCTTCCACTATATTGAACACTAGGCCACACGCTTAGGTGCGCTTGCCTAGTAGTATTATTTTCAAAAGCTTTTTGTGAACCTAAGTTTGTTCATTTGACCAACACATCAAGTCACTGGGACGGACTGACTAAGATAAAGTACAAATTACCGGACCTACTACAAGATAGCTGATTATTAGCATTCAGACTAACCAAGGTAAAAGGTAAAATATTAAGGTGAAATTCAAATTCAATAACACTACGTCTTCCTCGCGCAAAGCACTTATTACAACGCGAATGATGGGGAACATTTGAGAATTAAAAGTAAATGATGAACATATAACTAGGGTTTATCATGAAGTACCATCTCGGTTCTCTCATCTCTCTCCAAATCCACCGCGATATCCTTCATCATAGTCACAGCCTTCCTAATTTCCTGTAATACAAAACGAAATCAGTCCAATTAACAACTAAAAGAAAAAAAATTAGAGGTAATTTAAAAAGTTGCGCGCGCAAGTATGATACGCGGATGAGGGATTGATTGTCGGAGTGGAAAGTGTAGAAAGGAGAAAAAGTTTTGAAATGATCAAGAAAGAGTGACAGTGTGTCTCTCTAACCCCTAAGAAATAAATAAATGACTCAAAAAGTTAAGAGAATGTGTGCCAAAATGAAGCAAATGAAGTGCTTAAGGGAAGATGGAACCTACTTAGACCAAATATTTCCTACCCTGAACCAAAAGCCTTCACTATATCTCCACAAAAGCCCTATATGATCTTGAGTTGAATGAAGCTTACATTAGTGGTGACTCACATAAGGGGCAAGCTTATGGTTCTTAGAGCCGGACTTGTGACCTTTCCTTGAGAGAGATGAGTGTATTTTCCACAATCCTCGTTCTAAGTGCTACAGCCTAAAAGTGAGGTTTGATTATGGAGAGTTGAGGAGTATGAGTTTGGGTTCCACAATGACCAAAGTAGTAAAAAGAGTTTCCTTGATGAGTTGAGTCAATTCTTGATGCTTTTGTGTCACACTAAAACCACGGTGTTTAAAAGGTTGAATGTTGTTAATGATTCATTTGAATTGAGGGCAATTGTTAGTCCCAATTGATGATAGATGAGGTCACTTTAGGTCAGCTGAATTTTCTTGGTTGTACTCTTAAGGAGGNATTAACAACTAAAAGAAAAAAAATTAGAGGTAATTTAAAAAGTTGCGCGCGCAAGTATGATACGCGGATGAGGGATTGATTGTCGGAGTATATCGCCGATGTATGAGATCTAATTCTTCCGGCAGCTACGCCACTGCCAGCGCCGGACGTCGACGCCATTCCGAGTCTTTTACGAAGTTGTTTCGACTGAGAGACGGGCTTTTATCCCAAATTTATTTTGAAAAATCTGATATTTATTTTGAAAAATCTGATTCGGGTGAAGTTTGGTTTGAAGATGAAAATGTATTTGGACATACTTTTTAAAATATATTTTTTAATTTTATTTTGGAAAAATATGTATATAATTCTCAAGTTTTGGGATTTTGTCCCAAAATCAGCTTAACAGCTAATTTTGGGTTTGAGATTTGAGATTTGGGATTTGGCAAAATATGGGCAAAATTTATGGCCAAATATGAATTTTAAAAATAAATTTCAAATTTATTTTGACAAAACTCATGGCCAAACGGGACCTTATTTATTCCTTTTCTGATTTGGAGGGAAAGAGTGAGCTTTTTTGATAGTAGGAGAGCAAGGACAGAAACCATTTTTTTGAAAATACACATTTAGGCATAAATTTTGTATCTACTACAAAGAGGTCCAGAAAGTTCCATTTATGATGTTCCCCCCTCCCCCCACCCAACCCAAACCAAAATGGCAAGTTTTTGGATTCAAAACACGTTTCTACAGTTTTAAAAAAAAAGTTACTTTTTTGCCTAAAACGCAGTATTATACTGCGTTTTACTGTAACGGAATTTTAGTTGTTAAAGTAAAGCACAGTATAATACTGCGTTTTACATAAAGCGTAGTATTATAATGTGTTTTGCTTCTTTTTTGGGCCCACCAATAAGTGTTCTGCGGTTAACTGACATAACAATAATTCAAATATATAAAGCGCGGTATTATACTGCGTTTTACAAAAAAAAATTCTGCACCCCAAGCTAGGGCTTGCCTTATTTAAAGGCGTTAGGATTTTATGAAAATCCATTCAAAACTTTCCTTCAAATTTCCGTTCATACTTTTCTTCCTGTTATCAAGCATTTTTTTATAATATCTGAAGAGCCAAAAATAAGAGTTTCATTATATTGGGGGGGGGGGGGAGGGGGTGAGGTTGTAATGGAGAATAACTCTATGAGGTATAGTTCACCTCCACAGTGTCATGTTAAATTGCCACTTACAATGGAGTATGACAAATTGGTATCGTTGTTACGTAAGAAAATAAGTGTGAGGAAACGTTCGGTGAACCTTAAAGTAATCGGTAGATTTCCGTATTCTGTGACTCCGCAGGGGTTTGCTTATTCTTCTGAGTTTAACATCGAAGATGATGAAACTTTTAGAGATTTTTTAGGATTCCGGATGAATACAGGGAATTTATTGTAATAAAATTGTTGGAAATGTACGTCAAGGTTGAAGACTTCCCCAATAATGACGTTGTGCATAGTAGGGATAACCCCCAATCGTCGGGTGGTTATTCTGGAGCAGTTTTTGCCGGACAAATTCCTGATGAAAGAGTTTGCCTTGATTTAAACTTATCACCACCGGCGAATGAGCAATGAGGAAATAATTTTTCGACTTTATATAACCCTCATGGCGACTGGTAAACTTCAATTTTCTACGATTTAGCGATGTTTATTTTATGTTTGAATTGGATTTGTATTAACACTCATATTTTTCATAGGGGGTACCGTCCGAATATGAATTTTACAAGTTATGACCCCGCTCCTAGTTGGAATATGCGTAGTTCTGGCGTGCTGGACCACGGTGGTCCATCCGGGAGTCATCACCAACAAGAAAATGTACATCATGGAACATCAACACAGTACGACTTGTAAGTGAAGTGATATAGCTATATGTCAAGTATTTATCAAGTTGAGTAGCTTATCATTTTGTTCTTTTTGTGCAGTGAAAACGAGCAACTTGATGTTCCTGACCTCACACAGTTGCCCATAGACGACGTATTCACTCGTGATTTGGCAGATGCGCAGAGTCAGGAAGATGATAGTGATTATGACAACAATGTCGATGAGTCTGGAGATGACACACCCTTCCCTGATGAGGGTGATGATGAGGAGGAAATGAGGAAGGACGTGAATGTCGACTGAGCTGACGAGGGAGCATGCTCCTCCACCATCGCGTTAGACCCAAGATGTGTAGAGCCCAAGTGCGTTTCTCATGAGCGAATATCCCTACCTTGTAATTTGCCAAGTATGGCCGGATGTGAATGCCCTCACAGGGATGCTGACGAATTTGCGTTCAAACATGTGGGATTGGTCCTTAGACAGCCTGGTGCTGGCAAAGGCATGTATTCTGCCGATAAAGCTTCGCCTAATTATAGGATTTGTAAAATCTACAGCGTAGAGAGTGCCGTGAATTATGACGTGTAAGGAGTCAACTACGGAGGTAATACAAAGGGCTGCGCCTGCTATGCCATAGAGCTTTCTATGGACGTTTCAATCTGGATGCCTCTCGCTCCATTCAAGAAAAAATTCAAGGGGTCGTGTGGAAAGGTGGGTAAATATATAGCCACCTCACAGATGTGCTAATATGACAGCATTCAATGAGGACATCACACTCATTGGCATGTAGTACTTGATTTCTCTGTCTTGATTCCTAACATTGTAAGCTGTCATAGGCTTCTAGCATGTTACAAGAGTCGTACTTACAGTCTCTGCCTCCACTATAGGCAGATAGTGGTTTGTCACTATAACCAAAAGAAAGGCATAAATCTCAAGCGCAACGTGCTTTTGAAATTATTTTTGGTGACTGGGATAAGTCATTTTCATCTTTTACCCAGGTACATGGCCGCACTGCAACACTTTAACCCCGGGACTGTTGTTGAATGGAGGCGTGAGCAAAGTCCGGACAGACCCGAATATATTTTCAACTATGTGTTCTGGTCATTTAAACCAGCAATTGATGGTTTTGTGCATTGCCGTCCGGCAATTTCCATAGACGTACTCATGTGTATGGAAAGTATGATATTAAGCTTTGATCGCAGTTGCAGTAGATGCCAACGGACAATATTTCCACTAGCTTTTGCCATTTGTGCCAATGAAAGCGAAGAGACGTGGACGCCTTTTTTGAACCACTTGAAGCAGCACGTTGTCAAACAGCGTTCAGGTATTTCTAATATGTCCCCGATCGACATGGTGGTATTTAAAGTTCCGTTTACAGCATTTGCCTAAAGTGGCAGGAACCCTAATGCCAATACCACTCGTTACTGTTCAGGCACCTGAGGCCAAATTTTCCAGAAGAAATATCAC